AAACCTCTAGTTTAAGTATATAGTTAACTTCTTTCTTAAAATAAGAAGTTTCTCTCTACTTATACTATATAGTATACTCTATAGAATCTCTACTATTCTTCTATCTTTCTCTATAATCTTAATTATATAATTAATAGAGAGCCTATATAAGAGCGCTAGCTTATCTACTTTTTTCTTTATAAATATATAGAACTTTAATTATAAGTAATTAGGTAGCTTATCTCTAGAGTTCTCTTTTAGTTTTCTATTTAGAGCCTTCTATATGTTAGCTAGTAAGGCTGCCTATACTTATACTACTTTATTCTTTCTTAATCTCTATATCTATACTATAAAGGTACTAGTAGAAATAAGAAAAAATATATTATATAGTTTTCTTTCTTTCTTACTATAAACTTAAGTACTACTTAAGTATATAAAAAATAATTTCTTAGCTAGAGCTAGAACTACGTTATTTCTGTCTATCTAGAGGTAACTAAAAATAATATTATATTTATTCTTGCTCTTAATCTTCTATAACTAAGTATCTTTCTTATACTTATTAATATCTATAGATACTTACGCTATATAAGTTATCTATTTTACTTTACCTCTAATTCTAATTATAGAACGTTAGAGAACTTCTATATATATTAAGTTAGCTTACTTTATAAACTTAGTAGAGACTATTCTAAATATAAAATAACTAGTATTAATTATAGTATATATAACCTTAGTAGTATTAATTAGTAAGTATATTATTATTAGAGTTTTATTAGACTATTTTCTTTAAAACTCTACTAGTCTCTCTACTTTTTCTAACTTCTTATTCTTTTACCTATAATTTTAGGTAAGAAGATCTAGTTTTCTAAGTTAGAAACTTCTTTATTACTACTATTCTCTTCTACTTTAGCGTATAGCGCGCTTACTATCTTAATATAAGTAGAGCTTAAGAGGTTTATAGCTAGTAGTAAGAGATATTATATAGTATAATACTTATTCTTACTATAGCGTATATATAAGCGCTTCTTTCTTTAGCGTATTTACTTCTTATTAGTTATTTATTTTACGCGCGATTTATCTAAAGAGTTTCTACTAACTCTTTCTATATACGCCTTAGTAAGCTTCTAATCTATAGTATTACCTCTACTTATTAACTATCTAGTTTAGAACTTATTAAAGTTTTACTCTAGCTTTACGTAGTACTAGTTTTTCTTAATAATTTTTACGTAATCTATTAGTTACGTAATAGTCTAGTTATCTAGAATAACTATAAGTATTATAAGCTACCTAAGGTCTAGTCTTAAGGCACTAAAGTACTATATCTTTAAGTGCTTATTATAGAATTCTTTAGTATTAAAAGTAAGCTTTATAAAAGCTGCGTTAAATTTATCTAAGCGTGCCTTACTACTTTACTTAAATATTATTAACTTTCTTTATAATCTCTTCTTTAATATATTATCTAAGAACTACTAGTCTAAAAACTTCTAAAATGTATTTATATTACTAGACTTCTTAAAATAACTTATTTAAAATAGCGTAATACTTACTACTCTATCTATTAACCTAAAGAAGATATACTCTAGTTAGCTTTCTAGCCTCTTTTTATTATATTATAGCTTATTTACTATTTAGAGTTTAAACCTTTAGTAGTTACTTTAGTCTCTAGTAAAAGAGTAGAAGTCTAGAATCTTAATAGATTATAATAAGTTAGCTTAGGCATTTTATAGCCTAAAAAGTTTAGCTTTAGCTTATTTAGCTTTTATAGCGTATATATTAGTTAGAGTAGAAGAGAAAAAGAAGGTAGGTATATTTAGAGAAAGAGAGTTATATTATATATTATTTTTAAGTTACGTAATTCTATAATAGAGAAGGTTTAGTATTTCTTAAGTAATTACTAGTTTTATAGATAGTTCTAGAGAAGTAGTATTATTCTCTATAAGTTAGTTAGTATTAGATATATCTAAGAAGAGAAAGACTAAAGTCTATTTAATCTATATTTTTAGCATCTCTTTAACTAGCTAAAGTTTAGTCTATCTCTTATTAGCGTCTATCTCTACATCTAATATAGACTAGAGTTACTAAGTAATATACTCTTAGCTATTACTCTATTTTACTAGAGTAATAGTATACTAAACTATATTCTCTACTAAAGTATATAAGATTATATCTATAATAAGAGAGTTTCTATAAACTTTCTTAGAGTATTAATTAAATTTAATTATAAGAGGCTAACTCTAAGAGTAGGTACTAGAAAAGTAATAGATAAATTTAATAGCCTAAAAAGAAGAGCTTTCTAGATAGCTATATACTTTAGAAGAGTTTTTTAAACTTAGCTAAAACTAGACTAGGTTTCTAAGGTTTCTAGCTAAGAACTTTTCTAGACGTAGTCTATTATAGGCTAAAGGAATTTTATATTTAAATTTCTAGATAGAAGTTTAGTGTATAGTATATTTAGAGGTAAGTAGATAAAACCTAGTAATATAATAGGTAGAAGAAGATATCTAAGAGCTATTCTCTCTCTTAAACTTAAGAAGAAGAGAAAGCCTTCTTCTTAAGTATAGAAGAGATATAGTAGTAAAACTAGTAATATAATAAAAGGCTAAATAGCTATTAAGCTTAAGAGGTTAGTGCGCTAGAGAAAGCTAGGTCTAAATAGTGTTTAGACAAGAACTACATATACATAAATATATAATATAATTAATTTATATTAAGTACCTATTCTAATAGAGATACTACTAATCTCTCTACTATAATACTTTAGAAACGCTAGAACTACCTAATAAGAATAAGATAAAGATATAGTCTACGTAAGAGAAAACTATAAAGATAACTATTTTAAAATAGAATTCTAAAGACTAGTATCTTACTTTTACTCTATTTATTAATTACTAAATGCTATATAATAGTACCTTTATTACAGAAGTTAAGAATTATAATAATAATATTCTACACTACACTAGTAGTTTATATACAGAAAATAAGAATAGAGATAAGATACTAGAAGACTAAAAACTTCTTACGCTATAGATAGCGCTAAAACAGCTATAAGAGAGTATAAAGTTTAGTAATATTTACTCTATTTATAAAGCTAGAATAATAGTAATAAGTCTAAATAACTTTTAGTGTAGTATAAAGATAAGTTGTAAGTTTATTAATTTGCCTTAGTAAAACCTAATACAAGCTAATTAGACTCTAGATAGATACCTATAGTTCTTTGTAAAAGACTAATAGTATAGCATAATATACGTATTCTAGTTTACCTAGAATAACTTAACTAGGTAGAAGAGTCTTACTATTATTAAGCGTTAGTATCTATATAGTCTATAAGGTATGCGTATTTAAGAGTAAGTGCTATAGTAACTAAGTTTTACGCTACTTCTAATAATATAGTAGTAAATAAGAAGTCTTACGCGTCTTCTTTAATCTAAAGCTAACTAAACCTGCATATAAGAAGCTACTAGTACGCTTTAGTAACTAATATCTCTAGCTTAACATACTAGACCTACTAACAAACTACTAGAGTTATATAGCTACTACTTTTCTTCTCTTCTACTACTAAAAGAAAACTAAATACACGCTTATAGTTATAAACATAGAGCGTGTAAAGAAGCTTGTTAATAACCTAGCTTTAAGACAAGAATAGAGAAATAGTATTCTAAGAAGTAGATATAGTAAATATAGCAGCAAAGCTAATTAATAGTACACAACTTAGCAAGAACTAGTAGATAGAGTTTTAAGTTTAGTACAGAGCAAGAGGGTAGTGTTAGAAATATAGAAGGAGAGCTAGGACCGCGAAGCAAAGCAGCTTTACTTTCGCAAGACTTCTACACAGGTTAAGATCTTAGACTAAGTACTATTTGTAGGCTCTGCTTAACTCTTCTATATATCAATTCGGCGATTAATGCGCAAATGTCCGTTCTCTCGGCAGAAAGGTATGAGCCCTCGAGCGTGACACTCAGGCCATGCGATAGAGTCGTCGTCTTCGTCCAGTACAATACATCGTATCTTCTTCCTCGCTTCTGGGCGAAGACGCTTCATAAATCCGATAGCAACGGCAGCAGCTGAGAACCGGTTCTTGTCTTCTGCGAAGAACTCGTTCATGCCGTATGCAGAGCGGGCATATGGCCGCAGCTCGTCTGCATTCCTTTGCAGCTCGTCGAGTTCGTCGTCGGTAGGAATCAGCCACGGCTCGACTGCTGGGCCTTGTGAAGTTTTCAAAAGGCTTTTCAGATAGATGTGCGGCATTTCCGGCGGGTCTGTAGCCGAGCCTGGGCAGAACCGCGGCCTTATGGTATCCAGTGTTGATGCAATGAAATCGCGGGTGATAGAAGGGACTTCCTTCCACTGTTCTCTGTACCTGTCGACATCCGTGTCACGCAATGTCTTTGCGTGATCAAGGAGAGGTAAGAACTGGGCGTGGTTTGTTCGAACGTAGGAGCGAGCAGCGTTGTCGTACCAATCTGACATCGTGAGCAGCCTTCGTAAAGCCCTGTCTTGCGTATTGGATAGCTCGGTGAGGAGGTGACGGATCTGCGAGTAACTGGGCTTCGTCAAAGGTACCGCAACCGTGGTGAAATGTAACTCGTTGTATTTGACCACGCAACCGCGCGTTTCTTGCGCGATGAGCTTATTTACTCTCCGGAGTGCCATTGCGTGCTTTTCTTGATGCGATGCGACAAACTTGTTGGTCGCTGGGTTATAAGTGTAGCCATGTTCAAGCCTGAAATAGTATCCATAAATCTCTTCTCGGAGTTCTGCGGGCAGGCCAACAATGCCCTGCTTTGCTAGCACTGAAACGTGATTGAGTTCGTGAGCCATTGTGGTTGTGGATCGTGGAGGGTCGGAGAATGCGTTGCGATGGTGAAGTTGCGGAGAGGCGAGGCAGCTCGGCAAGATGCGATCATTGATGTGGGGTCGTATCTCATCACTAGCGGGACGCTACGGTGGCCTTTAACGAGGTTGGGGAGCGGGCTCCTCACCCAATTTCGGTCCAAAAGTTACTGGGTCCACAGCAAAAAAACATGTCTGATACAGACGATGGTGTCAAAGCGTCTGATTCGCTCTCCAACAGCTACCTCGGCAGGCTACCACAGGAGTTGCGAGACGAGGTTTACAAGCATTACTTCACGACGCGTGGAGGCTATCTCATCGATCCCACCACGAACACCTTGCGTGCAGTGGATGGAAAGCCCATCAATCTGTCATTGAGATTAACATGCCACGCCATCGCGAAAGAGACGGAAGGGTTGGCGCTCCAATACAACACCATCCACGCCACAACTACCGAAGAGAAGCGCTTCATATGGGCAGCTTACCACTCGTTAAGAGTAACAAAGGGGGATTCCTTCGATGATCACAGGGCTCTGGTGCAGCTCTCTAGATGCATTACCCCAGGTGTAGCCGATGAGATCCTGGAAGGGTTCCCTCAGTATAGGGACGCGCTGCAGGAGTTGATTGCAAACAGAAATAGGGAGGGGCCAGGTAGGAAATACATGCGCTGCACTCCTCCCACAGCTACAGAGGCCTGGTCTACGGAGCAGAGATTCGTCTCCCGTGCCGTGAAGATAATGGATGAGCGCTTGGATATCCCCGGATCACTATACAGTGCTCTAAGCCGTCTACATTTGTTGTCGCTATTGAACACCGGTCCGGAGCAGCAAGCGCCCTGTTGGGAATTCCAGAGGAAAACGAACCCTTTCGAAATCGTTTTCAGCCGGATCGATGGAAGGCCTGTTATGGGTGAAGATAAACCGTCATCCTGCTTTTCCGCAGCGGCCGTAGCAATACGATTCTGGAACGCCCTTGACCCGACGACCCGCATGCAAATCCGACGATTCGATATCGACGAGGATAGGCGCTCCAGATTCTTCCCCATGTGCCATACGGAGGGCTTCATCCCATTGTGGCAAGAGAACCCTAAGCTTCGTATCAATCGTCGCGTCAATCTCGTGAATACTATTGTCGAAGAAGCTCGTCAACCTGACAGATCAGCTTGGCATCGGGAGCACGCGCATCATGCAGACAGTAGGTGCTGTGGAAGCTTAACGCTCAAGATAAAGGCTGACAGTCGCACAGAACTAAAGACACTTTGGGATTGGATCGCCGAGGTCAAAGCACTACACGCTGCATTTGTTATACCCAAGGGGGCTTTCAGTCTCAAGTTTTATTCTGATGCGTCGCCTGAAGACACTAAAGAGGTAGTTGACGTTATGCAAGAAGCGGCAGCCTGGCAGATGGCGCTCGACAAAGTAGCGCAGAACGGAAACGCAGGTAACACGCATGCTCTTGGGTTCAATTACTCGGATTACCTTTGGGACCCGCGGGGACTGGCGTGGCATGAGTTGCAGGAAATATCAAAGGGCTCCTCGATAATCAAGTGTGACTTTGACATGGGCCAGTCTGTGGACCCAAAGGACTTGTACGATGGCAGTGGTCGCTGGTCGCATGAGAGATGGAATAGCCACTGTGCTATGAATGACTCCAATAGTTGGCGGGCTACGTGGTAAGTACGATAACATCTATCGGTCGCATTCCACGATATCAATGAAGCAGAACACTGCCAGGCAAAGAAGTATCGGCAAGTACAACATCATCAATCAATCTTTCAACAAAGCAAACATCGCATCGCGTATCTGCCACACTACATCCCCATCTACCCTACGACCCCCCAAACCCCTTCTCCAACCCCCTCAGCCAAATCCCCGCAGCATACGCACCCGGATCAGGAATCTTACTCCTCTCACTCCCATCCTCACTAATGTACGTCGCACGCCCAAACTTGGCCTTCATATCCTTCGTGCTATCCGCCTTCTTCTCCGCCACATCCACACTCTTTGCAAGATCCTTGCTCTCAGCCAATGTATTGATAAACGGGATGAGAACGTCCATGACCGTCCTATCACCCTCCCGTGCACTAGTGTAGTTCTTGAGGTTCTCGAGGGCGGCGGAAGCCGAGGAAGCGAGAGTAGAGATATCCAGCGGAGCGTTCTGGGATAGTGTGGCTTTTGATAAAGCGTTTGTGAATGCGGTGACGAGGATGGAGAGGATGGCGCCGAGGGAGCCGCCGACGTCTTCGACGTTTTCGCCTATGCTTTCGAGGAGTGCGAGAATGGGTGGTGGGCTGCTTTCTACGGCGTCGATGTTGGCGAGGATGGACTTGCAGACGCCGGCTACGGCTTCGCCGCAGTCGCCGTCGCCCATTTGGAGATCGTATTGTGTGATTGTGGGTTCAGCTGCTAGGGCGGCTTTGCAGGCTTGACGGAGCGCAGGAATGAGGGACGGTGGTGTGGCGGGGCCCTTGTGAAGGAGGGATTTGTCTGCTGCGGCGGCGTTGGCTTTGTTGCGGAGCTCTTCGGTTTCCTTGTTGACGTTGAGGGGCTGGTAGCCGTTCTTTGGCCATGCTGGGGCGTTTGTGGGTGCGTCTAGCAATTCCATGACGTCTTCATCCTTGAGATTCATGGCCTTTGCCATTCCGCTCATGTTGCCTAGTGTGATGCTGAAGCCCTGGGCATTCAGCGATGTCTCGAGCACGCCGGCGTAGATACGTGTTGGTACGATCTTCCAGTCACGCTTTAGGGCTATCAGAGCGAGGTTCACTAGGGCGTCGAATTCCAAGTTTGACAGTCCGCCGAAGTTGTTGACGAGCATGACGACGTTATCATTGGGGTTGAAGGTGACGAATGCGCGGTCGGAATCGGAGGGGTCGAGGAGGTAGCGGAGCATCTCTTTGATCACGTCTTCGGGACTGGGCATTGGGGAGATGGTTCGTAGACCCTGGAGAAATTAGTTCGCGACCTTAAGCGTGCTGGGGATGAGATAGCGAAACTTACAGGCTCGTTATGAATTCCCATACCAACCACACAAGCATCGTCCTGCACACTCTCGAATGCCTCTCGACCTGGTACATGGCAATGGTCCAGACTCGTGCCAATGGTAACCAGCTGCGAGTTACCCAACTCGCCAATCTTCCTACACCGCTCAAAAGCCCAGCCTTTCTGTGATGCAGCACCAGCGAGCTTGATGACCAGCAAGTTACCAGCCAGTCCTCTTCTTCCCACCTTGCCGCTCTTCTCGCGACCCAGGGCGGCGTCTTCTGCCATGCACACAACGTCGACTTTGTAGCCTAACGCTTGCCCTTTCTCTCTGGCAAGACCAAAATGCAGCATGTCTCCAGTGTAGTTCGTGATACACAATATGACGCCCTCATTACTTGGTACATTCCGTATTCCGGCCATGATCTGCTTGGTACTGGGAGAAGCGAAAATGTCACCGCATACAGCAGCTGAAAGCATGCCGTCGCCGACGAAGCCGGACCATGCCGGCTCGTGTCCTGAGCCGCCGCCAGAAACGATGGTGACTTGATTCGGAGGGTGTGAGAGGTTGTAAACGACGCGGTTGGCCTCATCGAGCGCCATGTGGCAGTTGCGTGTGCATAGGGAGCGGAGGTTGTGTAGGACCACGCCCTCCGGGTTGGGGAAGAAATGCTTTCTCGACATTGTTACGCTTGGTATGGATTCGTGTAGTATTCAAAAGTCTGAAGGTTGTTAGCGACTGTAATGTGTTTGTCTACAATAGTGTGAATCCGGAGACTGCTGTAGAACATACCTCAATTCAATCAAGTATGCCAACGTATACACAGCTCGAAAGTAGCAGAATTGAATCCAAGAAATCAAGACACGCGGCGTACCGCCAATTCAGCCGGACATCGTGCCTTTTAAACAAGTCCCCCGCATCCCCCGCCACGATCAGCATCATGACCATGAACCCCGCTCGTGGGCACCCCGTCAACTCAATTTTTCGGTGCCAGGTATTCAACACGCGTCTAGAAGCCTAAACACGCGCTCAAATTAGCCCGAAACGATGTCAGAATGATATGCTAGGCTTGGGTATACTGCATTCAGATAAGTGGGCAGTAGGAAGCTGGAGAGAGGGTCGTGTTTGCGCCGGGGTTGCCGCTTTGGGAATGCCGGGCGGAAGCTTGGCTTTTGTGGAGGAAGCTCGCATCGGTCGGAGCTCCGAGAGCTATTAGGTCGGCGTCTCGCGACGAGACGCTTGTAATACCTGCAGTATCCGTGCGGTTCATATCAACTTGTGACCTTGCGGAATAATCTTGTACCTTGTAAGAGACGAGTGTAACCCTGTCAAAATTCGATTTCGAGCATGTAGGCGAGCTGATCGTATTGATATCGCCGCAAAAGGTAGCGGACTATGATCGATCGCTTCTCAATACCTGCAAATGAACAGAGCGTCGCACCCACAACTCTCCGTTGTCCAGTGTCCACACATCATGACAAGCAACCGGACAATCCACTCAGGAAAAGAAAGATCCCAATCAGGACCATGACCCGCTCGTCAAGCATGATCATATAGCCACACATGAGCTTCTAGTCAAACATGATCTTCTTGCCCTTCAACAGTGTGCCACCGAGCAGTTTGCCTACTGCGTAACCAATGTAAGCGCCGGTAACGATAGTGACGGGCCACTTCTGCCATTCGCGGTCCCTGCGTTTCGTTAGCTATGCCCATTGCAAATACGTTGTCGACTCCAGTCTCAACGGTGAAGTCGGTCAAGTACTTACCAGTCCAAAGGGATGGGTACAGCACCTAGCCATGCACCGAGCACGGTACCAATCAATCCTCCGTAGACTTCATCCATCGGCAGAAGTAGCGCGATGATCTGCCTCCAAGTCTCGCCGTCTACACCGTGTACATATACCAGCGGAAGTGTGCTGAGCAGCGCGATGTGGGCACCAGCAAGGAGGGTATGAAGGTGATGTGTGGTGGCAGGCGCGCCGAAGAGAACGAGGGTCGCGGTGAGGAGCGGTGTTGCGGCGAGCGTGGTAAGGAGGAGTGATAAGAATGCCGGCTGTATCCGTAGTTAGTGATGTTTCTTTCGAGTATGCTGTCGAAAGCCTGATGTAGGCTGTAAAAGTAGGAGTGTAGACGTACAACAATCTTCGAGTTGAGCCCCTGCTCCAGCTTGCCCGGTGCCTTCCCTTTCTTCTCACCAGGCTTCTTGTTCTTTAAGGAAGGCGTGCCTCCTGTTGGCGGAAGGCATACTGCTACAAACGCGATTTGCAGCACGGCGAGTGGCGCCAGAGTGGAAAGGAGCGTCGGCACCGGGTCCGCGACCAATGCGGGAAACTTGAAGGCATAGACCGAGAGAACGAGTATCGGGTGTATATGTGTGTAAAGTCGCGCACTATCGTTCTTCAATGGCTCAATTGGCGGCGCCGTGGAGGGTTGAACCTTTGCCGTCGCGTTGGCATTGATGACAGTTGTGCTGGCCATGTTTACGAACGAAGTGGAGGAAAGATGGCGCGCGCTGAGGGCAAAGTGATAGAACTATCAATTGACAAGGCGACGTAATGTGAGCAGCGTCTGAAGGAGCGGAAGTGGCGCCTGGCCTATCGGTGTGCTGTGGTCGCGGGTACTGCGGAGAGATGTCGCGCATCGGAAAGTTTCGTGATGATGTCCGTGCTGCTCGCTCATTGGACAGACAGCAGACCCTCACTCGAGCACCTCCATGGTTCATATGAGGTGGTAAACACATGTGAACTTTGATAAAATTCATTGAGTGCTTATCTGTCTTGACCTTTTCTTCATCCGTCTCGTGGCATGTTCCTCGTGCGCCATGTATCTGGGTAGTAGCATTCCTTCAGCATCACCTTGCAGACATCTACTGCTTCTGCTCGCCCTTCTTCGGCAACAGATTCCTCAAAGACAGATCGTAGACAACGTCCTCCACATCCTTGACTCGGTACTTCAGTCCGTCGCTGCGGCGGCGCAAGCTGTCGTTCTTGAGGTTGAGGATCTGGAAACCTGCGTGCAAGTCCTTGACGAACTGGTTGATGAGAAGGGGACGCTCGTAATCACCAAGAGTGACGGCGTTACGTGCAAGACGTGTCTGTCGTTGTTAGCGTCGATTGAGAATGGGGTCGAGCAGAGGGACGAACCAGTTCCTCGACGAGCGTCATGAGGGAATGGAGGTACTCTTCGAGCGAGAGATGGAACTCATCGCGGTCCTTGAGGTTCACGGGAACTGCTAGAGTTAGCGATGCGCATGTGTAACATTAAAATTGAACATACTCTTGAAGATCTCGCCGAGCTCCTCAATGGTCAAGAGACGTCCGCATTGTACCTCACCACCGTCGTACTTGTAACCACCAAGCCAGCCCCAGAACAGAGCGCTCTCGCACTGGTGTGTTGTCAGAATTGCGATAGCGATATCGTGTGGTTGATGAGCTTACTGCGCCCTGCATCTGACGGCTCCACATGTTGTTGAACTTGTAATACGGCATCTTGGACGCAGCCTGCGACAGGTTGCCGACGGTGTCGATCACATTTGCGATAGGCTCTTGTGCCGCTTTTAGGATGTCGGGCACTGTAGTTCGTTTAGTTGTGATGTAACCACACCTGCGCAGAGCGACTTACGCTCGCTGACAGGTGTCGAGTGGGCTCTAGACAACACGAATGAGACGTTGCGGTCTACAATATGTCAGTATAGTCCGCCGCTCTTGTAGAGAATACTCACTGTGCTTCTCAAGCGCCTGGATGATGTCGCGCAGCTCCTGTCGCGTTGTGAGTACGCTATCACGTGCAGCTCCATCGGCCGCCACTTACATCCCGGGTAGCAGTGTCTTCGTCTACGCGCGCCTGAAGGTCCTGGAAAATGGCCGGGTTGACCATACCTGAGTTCGCTGCCATTTTGACGTGTGGTATGGTATTGAGGCGTTGTTGCGAGGAAGTTCGTGTTGGTGGCTGAGTTGACGATTGTTTGTCACGGCAAGCTACGAAATTTTGGTCTCTCACTACTCACCGCGCAAAGTTGCTTTTATCAAGCTGCAACCACGCAAATCAGGCTACCATCTGTACGAGATGTGCATGTACGGTTCGCCCGCGTCAAATGGGCCATATAAGTAGGTGTCACCATCGACATGCAGCACATTCAAGGAGAGGTAACAGGCGTGCGCCACCAAATGCTGCGTGACATGGCAACCACCACCTCACTCCAAGCACTTGTAGACAACACTTCATGACAATAATTCATGTCATGCCATGACCTTAACTAATGCTTGCTTTCAGCGACAAGATGTAGATTACCGCCAAGGATTGCACGACATGAACACGGTACCGCGCTTGCTTTTACCTTCATGCAAATGGCGATTACAGATGCCTCAGATCATGCGAGTAGATGCTCGATAACGAGGAATGGAGGATATATCACGCTCAAGCAGTTAGTATCATATAACGGCGTTGCATACAAATGATTATATCTTCAGTCGTCATTAGTCCTTGGAGACCCAGCACAGTTCAATCTCAATGTCAGCCTTCTTCCTCAAGCGACTGGCAAGCCAGTAGTCTCAATGAAAAAGTCGCGTCTGCCAGAGGTAGTGAAATACTGGCGACACTGTGCCAAGGAAGATGAGCAAGCCCAGAGCCTTCTCGACTGGTTTCAAAAATAGGAATAATCAAGAATTCTCCCGTAGGAGAGTTTCAGAGATTAAACTGAAAAGAACAGATACTACACTTGATCTGGGGGATGTTAGTGGATGTCAAAGTTGGATAGTGGAGTGGACGTACCTAAGCCAAAAGGCAAAGAGAGCTAAGGAACAGAAGAGGAGGCAGAGGGACGGCAGTAATATATACTCGGCCTGGCCTTGGCGCGCTAGACGTCACGTGAGTCTCAGTAGCGTCGCACGTACCTCTTCTGCCTGCTGCCGGGAGAACTCCGGCGTCCGGGCGCCTGTAGAACATTGCCGGTGATGGTGAGTCTCGAGGCTCCAGTATCACGCATCACCTTTGCCTGCTCGAACGCGTCGTGCTCCTTTGCGTAGCGGCTTCCAGACTCACTTTCACTGTAAAGATACGCCATCAACTCTGCGGCGAGATCCATCCCCGATGGCCATTATCTTCGTCTGAGGATGGCGTTGCATGAGCGCAACGAGATGCGTCGCGAAGTGACATGACTATCACGAGTTGCGTACAATGTTAGCGTATACGTGGTGCTTGAAGTTGCACCCCTCATGTAAGGACGGTGATGTACACGTCTGGGCAACACTCCATTTACAACTTGTCAAGAACAACCATCTTTGCATACGTACACATTCACATCCGTCTATGCTGATAGCGCAGGAATAGCAATGCTGCCTGTAGAAGACGAGAACGCTCCGCCACCCTCTCGAACAGATGCATACCGCGAGGTGCTCCACGCTCGATTACGCCATGTCTCTCCCACTGTAATACTACGGCTAAGCCATCAATGCCCCCACATCTCGGCGAACCCGATCCATTCGCGCTTCCCTGGTACATCGCATGCTCTTCCACTACTTCGCCTTCTTGGTAAGCATCGGCTTGCCATGAACCATCTTGTACCTTATACTCAACTTGACGATGCGACGCTGCTTCGTCCCCGCACTCTTCGCGCGCGTCTGGCGACCTTCCACCTCCTTCGGCTCCGCTTCAACGACAGTGTTTGGCGCACTCATCGCGATTTGTTCTCGAGAGTGGAACTCGTAGCTCAAGAATCTCGCCTCTTCGCAGAACCAATGGAAGCTTGGGGCGTAGCCGGCCTTTTTCGTAGTGTTGTATTCTCGACCTTCGATGAGCGAGATGTTGTCGTAGAGGAGTTGGGTCGCCCAGCTCTCGCCATCCCATCCGATTTTCATGTTGAGCGCTGATATATCGAGGCCATCTTCCTTCACGCGTTCGTCGGCTAGCGAATTGGGCGTCATGAGGCCGGTTGCAGCGCGCTCCGATGTGGCTGTCGCGCGGCGTATACGCGAAGCGATGGCGTAGAGGAAGAGAGGGCTGCGCAACAGGAAGCAGAGGTCGCCTGAAACTCGCGATTAGTCCGATTGCAGCTATACTGGCCAGGCTACATACCAAGGAGTTGTGTTCGATCCTGCGCCGGAAGTTTGCCCAAAGAGTCGTCAAGTGCGCTCTGAAGATGGCTGCGCAGCTTGTCTTTCTGCGACGCAAGGCGGAGCCTTAGCTTCATCTTTATGCTTGGAAGGGTACTGTGCCGCGTCTGTAGTTGGATTGGTGGTGGACTTTAGGCGCTACTGTATTTTTCCGGAGGTCGCGCAGGGTGAGAGGTCACAAGGTCGCGAATGGTGAGCCATACTAGTAATGATATCGCGGTAGACCGGATACCGACTGTCTCTCACTCGTCAACCCATAACAGCCCGCGTGCGCAGTGGTTAGTCATCATGGGCCTGTCGATCGTTCAAAGTGAAGGCGACGACCGAACAGGCCTGCAGACTCCATCACGATGAAAACATGCAAAGTAGATGACCCAGCGTCAATGTAAGCTCCAGGGTGTTTAGATTTCCGTTGAATGAGGTACTAATCTAGGAATGTTAGTTGCTCGACGACTTGATGGATTGACTAGATTGGGAAGCTAGCGACCACCATCAGAAATGCGCATCTAAAGCAAGTGCTATACCGAGTCTTTGTACATCCTGCCGCCCCAAATTGCACCCACGACGTCCTTGGTATGGGAACTTGTGCTACTCGACAATCGCCTCTCCAGCCTCCTCCTCCGCTATACGCCTTTCCTCGTCCCTCACACGATCCGCTTCATCCTTCTCACGAAACCTCTCCGCCAGCATATGCACCCTGTCGAAAAGTGCTATCATTGCCTCCCTCTCACCCACGTCCGACTGGCCCTTTGCCAGCGTCCATTCACCAACCAAGAAGCGCGCAACATAACCCTCTCCACGCACCACATCGGGATTCCAGGATTCCGGTTCCAACTCCCACGCGATATTGATCGCAATAGACTTTTGACCTTCTATCGTTGACGCATTGAATTGGGTTGGGAAATCAAAAGATTGCGTCATACTATCAAGTGAATCGTTGGAGTCGCCGCCATCAACGAGGGTTGTTGCACCGGAATGGAGTTCTGCATCTTCTTCATGCACCGGGCCCTCCCACGTGTAGTTTCGTAGATGTTTTCTTCCCACGTCGAGAAGATAGATGATGTCCTCTTGACTTATGTTAGTCAACCACTTCCGATGGAAGAGGTGGCACTTACTACACCAAGGCTGATACTCTGTAGAACTGAAGACTCCCAGCTTCTTGTCCGTTATGACGTATTCGATCCGGTTCTTGAAGTCCGGGTCGTATTTCTTTTCGTCCATGATCACTGGAATCTTACTGTATTCTTTACGCGGAAGAAGTTACGGATTGACTAGGAATGAGCATCTTATATGATACATGCGTTTGACATCAAACTCCTCCAGCGATGTGGACGACGTTCTGGCTTGCTACCCATTCGCAGCATGCGAGATGGCTAGACACGTGTCGCACGTTGCTGCATACAAGTCGCTAAGTCATGATCAGTAGCTACCTCTTAAGGTAACGTATACCTCTAACTCAAACACGGTTCTATAGAATGCGACACGAAGGCTGGCCACCCCTTGTGGCGGCGCGAAATGGCCTAGCTAATCACGTCTTTCTACATGTTTGCGAAAGCCGCTTCGAGCAATCGAGCTGCATGTTCACAATCTCTCGACAAGCATCGCTCAGAGTCAAGCAGCCTTGAATGATGGGATAGCACCGTTAATAGTTAGGTACAAGCCTAGTATACATTATGATTGAGCAAATGACAGCCAGCAACAGTTCCTCGTGGCCAAGAGATGAAGCACAGGGCACTAGTAATACAGACAGGCCATGAAGACAGCCTCAATGATCGCCGTGAGCCACTTCACTCATACTCTCGTGCCAAAGTAACAACCTTCTGGAACACATCCAGCAGCGCATCTGCCGGCGAAGAGGTACTCCTTCCCTTGGCCAGCACATATCCATCAACGACAATGAGAACAACACTGCCTTCAAAGACTGTCGCACCACGGGAGTCCTTCTCCGCGCCCTCGTAGCGTCGAATATCCAACTTGTCGTGGCAGTCCTCGCGTTTCTTGACATTGAAGGCGGGGCGGCTGATAGAATGCTCGAGAGATTCTGTCTGCCAGGCATGGTCGTGCATGAAGGTAGGGTTTGTGAGGAGAGCTTCAATGGCCTCTGTAATGCGTTAGCAGATATATCAACATATTGGAGAGAGTGAGACCTACTGAGGAAAGGTTTGTAGTCGAAAGCGGTGAGGAGCGGAAGACCGCGGTGCTTCTGGTCGGCCAGCATCATTTGGAAGGCGTGTCGTACTGGGTTGAAGGCCATGTTTGCAAGTTGTACTTGTTGGATTGGAGTGTAGATAGTTGCGAGCTATGTTTCGGCGGGACCAGGCTTTTATATGGTCGGCGGGTCGCTTGGTCTGATGCCTTGCTCATGTCTTCCGCATGTTGATCGTTTGCTGCTGTAACAATGGAAACTAGAAATTCGCCAATGGAGCGGTATCATCTCGCGGCATCAAGGCGATGTCACACTGCCCGTGGGGACACCCTTCTGGACGTTTGCCATAGTCGATGGAACCCACATGCAGTCGCGCGCCACACTCATAGAACAAAGAACTCGCGAATCATCTTCTGATTACCGTTCGCATCAAGGTCCCCAATCCATGTGGCTGGTAGAAATGTCGCCCAGAAGCCACCCTCGTTATCCATCCCGGCTTTGATTATGCAATTCCATAATCTCGCTTCTTCCACCGGCCAGCCGGTGGCTTGGTCTACCTGGACTTCTTCCAATTCGATCGCTCGTTTGGACACCGCCACATGTTGCCCCACATCCCACAGACCCTCGCGCGGTGGGTTACGTTCTAGAAGCGCTACTGCCTTTCGTCGGGTAACGGGACAGCGGCAACGCGTTGCGACAAAGTAAAGCTGTGGAATTATCGCAATGTCGAAAGTGAAATGGGCGGTGTTGGGGTTCGTGGGCGGCCTCGAATCGATGATTGCTTGGGCATGATGCAGGATTTTCTTGAAGTGATCTAGATAGTTGTCGTATCTCTTCTCGATAATTGTTGCAGAGCATGATACGGAAACAAACGTCGTGTGATAGGAAACCTTGAGGGCGTTCGCAGCCATTAATTCATCGTTCGAGAGCGCATGATACTTCTCGAAGCGCTGCATGTTCTCGTACCAGAAATGATGGCACGCCAACAAATTGTCCCGTTCTCGATACAGTTCAAGACTAGGATCCTCTCGAACGAGTGATTTTCTTCCCATAATATAGAGGTGAGTTATGGACGCATTGCGAAGCTCGAAGTAGGCCTGTTGCGCCTCGGAGAGACTCGCAAATGACTGCTTGGAGTACGAAGCAGGCATCACTTGCAATATCTCGAAATCTTCCTGAATTCTGGCGCCATAAAGCAAAGCTTGCGCCATGCCGCGGGTGAAGATTGACATCAATTTGTCTTCTGTTGAGCTTCTCGAAAGTCCGGACCCGTCCAATGCTACCTTGGGGGTATACGTAGTTTGTAATGAGTGCCGATAGTTCGGTAGTGCCATGCGGGGCGCGTACATTAGTTTGAAGCCGTTCCTAAAATGGGTGAAGGCGGCGTGGTAGCTGCCTTGGAGGAACTCAATGCAAACAAAAAGAAGACAGATAACGAGTCCAAGCTCCGGTGAGTAAGTGGCATCGCTCATTCGATTGACTAAGCAGCCAATGGACTTGTTGTAATGTGTTAACATGACCTTGCGCTCGTGATTGGCAATGGAGCCCGCGCATGCATGCTTCATATCTCCAGGCTCGGTTCGGCAAAGAGCTCCTAGAGCTATCACGGCATGGCGCACGGCCGGTTCTGAATGGGCCATCTGCAGTACGATGCGCGACCAGAATTCTTTGTCGAAGTTGGTAGAGAGTGCAGGGCAGGCGCAATAATAATAGAAGTCCAGATAGCGTGCACTATCTCCAAGACCACTGAAGGCAGAGATGGCGTTTGGGGGATCGGAAACTCGTCCATAACTCCAGACTTGGACTTGGAAGTTTGCGTCGTTTGTGGTCTAACCATCGCATTTGCGACCAGTGCGCGTACACCTGACTACATTAGTCAAGCATGACCCGCGAGAATGGTGAGTCAATAGTTACTTGAGGCATTCTGGCTTCTTCTCATCACATTTAACGCGTCGCACTCTGGAATTGATATGTCAGCATTCCGTCACATGCTACGGTGTCCACCGCGTACTTGCACGTTTTGCAGCCTGTCTTCACTTTTGGAGCCCGTTTGCGGGCTTGGGAAGACGCCCCGCTCGTCGAAGACATCCTGAATGCAGGCCAGAGATGGCGGGAAGAGTACAGCGTGACTGCATGATGGAAACGCGTGAGTGTAGTCGGATAGGGTACGCGACGACGGTGCGAGTGTGGCGGACGGGCGACGGCCAATCATGACATCAGCGCCCGGGAAGCATCACGTGCTTTTACGAGCTGACCAATCATGAGATGTCGAACCCGCAGATGCCTGACGAGCTTGACATCAGGCGTCCAACGACAATCGTAAAGAGGAGTGCAGCATCCATATGAGGCGTTGTATCTTTTCATCGACGGGAGATGTGGCCGTGCTTACATACAGTTATGTACATGCCCGCGCGCTCCCACGCCAGCTACCGAGTCGAAACTACCTAAGATAGCTTACAAGATGTGGAGCCATTCAAGGGAAATACGGAACACTTAGGAGCCTACATCGACGCTACGCATTGCCATTTGCTTCTCATTGTCCTATCGTAGGCTGCACGCTTCCTCGCTCTTTTCTGGTTCTTCCTTGTCTGAGGAGTCCCAACTGCTCCAACATCTTTTCCCATCGCTAAGTCCTTGGAGATTTGGCAAGGATCATTGCATGCAAGTCCATAGCGGCCTTCTCAAAACCGTCCTTGGCCAATCCGAAGACCTCCTCGTCTACCAACGGGTCATTCCCCTCCTTTTCGGTCAGGTTGCCCTTGAGAACGATCGTGGGACCCCCAGTGCGGCCGTGTTCCGGGTGGACAGCCAGACACACATAGCTACGTCTGCCCTCATGTCCTATGGTCATGCAGAGTTGCCAGAGTGACTGTATACCATTGGGACCGAAGATACCGTGTACGCCAAGATCGATGACATAGTCGGACAGATAGTCTGGAAATATCCTAAGTCAGCGGAGGGAAAACCATGTGGTGCAGCGGAAAAGATAACTTACAGACTAGACGATGTATTGCCACCGGATTCTCCGCCCACCAGATAGTCAAGGTATCCCGGAGAACTAGGTATATGCGATCGTAGAGCATCTCGCGCGTGAGACAAGTGAGCGGCTCGCGATAGATCTGCGGCACATACGGTCCTGGTGATGGCTCTGGGGATGGCGACTTGGACTGCGTACCAATGACGGGCATGTGACCTGTCGGTGGAGCGAACGTAGGGGATGGCGACTTCGATTGTGTACCAATAATGGGCATGTGAACTGTCGGCGGAGCATACGGCGGGGATGGCGACTTCGACTGCGTGCCGATAATGGGCGGGGGACCTTTCGGCAGAGCATGCTGCGCAGTGGTGTGAGAATGAGCGTACGCTGTTGGAGGTATAGCCATACGCGAAGGCTGGAAGCTGGGAACCCTCGGGGAAGGCGGCGATAGCTGGCGTACGGATGTGGTTGGAGACATGGACGGGGAAGCTAGACCGGGCGACGGAGAAGTTGAGTAGCCCCTTGGTCCAGTCGTGACGCGAAGAGGATTCTGCGCCTGGTAGTCGTGCAGTCGCGACACTGCGTCGTTGGCGGTGCGGGAGAAGTCAGGAGGATGGTCGGTCATCGCGCGTGATATGGAGTTGAGATGGAACTTGTTCTTGGTAGAGGACATCGGGTGTCAAGAGCGGCGACTCAGGACTTGAAAGCTCTCAGATCATCAGAGCAAGCGGTTGAAGGGAACAAGTGTGAGCGTGGTGATGCTAGTGGTAGTGATAATTCGTGGTCGCGCTCGCTGAGAAGAGATTTCAGGTGCAAAGGGATAGTGAAAGTGAGTGAAAACGAACTTACGCATTCTAACGACTGCCTGGCCGTATAGGAATAACCAATTGACATGCTGATCATGAAATGCTACACTATGGTCCAGGTGTATACCCAAAGGTTCAGCTACCCTGGCATAGAACGCGCCTCTTGCGGAATGTTGACGCCTGGTCCAACAAGACACGGTTTTACGAATTGTCCTGAGACTTGAGCGGGGCAACCCATCGAATTTCCTAGTACCAGCTATCATCAGGCGGGTTTGTCCAGGTACTTCTTCTCTCTGCAGTCATGTGTTCACAGATCGCAAAGAAGCCTTCACTTGCACCTTGCATAAGTAAAAGGCTCAACAGGTGCGCTTTAGTCTACACTAGTGTCAGAGTCAAAGGTTGACAGAACGCTGAGGTGATGTAGACTTCTAGGGCTCTTCGCCTCGACAACGTGCGCGACACTGCAACGATCCAAGATTTGATAGCGAGAGCAGCCAGCCGAGCGGACAAGATGGTCCAGTGGAAGTTTCCCGAACGACCCGTTCTTGCTGGGTACTCTGGTTCTGTCATGACGCCCGACAAACCGGCAAATACATCTCAAATCGGACCTTTCCTCGTCGAGGCGGCTACATTGCTTGGTATCACCGTCACTATTCGTGCCCACGATCTGCGACGAGGCGCCGCACAAGACATATCGAGACTGGGGCATATCATCCCTTCTACAAGGGACGAGGGTCTAGCAAGGTCATACCTTGGCCATTTACATCACTCGTTGGACCGAGATGAGACGTCCAAGTATGTAGGTGCCGAAGAACGCGACTTCTGGGCTCCCCGAGTATATAATCAGCACAACGACCCATTCACCACGCCTTTGATGGACACACCTCCAGATGAACTGGAGCCTATTGCCAAGCGGAAGGTCCAGGCGACGCAGTAAGAGGTCGGTGACTACTGCGCTAAATATGGACTGAACCCAGCAAGCAGGATAGATCGGGTTCAAGCCGCCCGAAAAGCACGAGCAGAGATGCCCCGCGTGTTGTTCGATGAGCGGACCGGCTCCTTGTCTCCATTGCACCAAAGCGCCATTGGCGAATACGGCAACAGCGGTGGCCTCGACAACGACAGCGACGTCGACAGCGTTCTCGGCAATGACGAGGACATAACCTTTGCGGACATCGTACCCCAAATCGCCACTGGCGATTTCGATGTCAACGGCATATGTGATGAGAACGATAGCTCAAGCGATAGCTTGTTCAGCGACGACGAACAAGAGAGCAGAGGAGCAATAAGGTCCGCCGCTGATCTAGCGATACGACATCGTGATCTCATTGCAACCGACCGGGTACCTGCAGGAGTACAGCCTGGACAGCCTACTAGGGAAGAAATCATCAATATGGCGCCATTAAAACATGTGGCTACATTCTCGACTATCAACACTGTCAACGATCATAGGATTATTACCCTGTCGGATGTTGGAACCTCTCTACTGGCACCGAATGGTATCGGGAAGAACCCTGTCTCCCTTTACATGCATTACTGCAGGAATAGATCAGTAAACGGCTGTGACTTCGTGACCAAAGGGTGTCTAGACTTTCCTTGAATGAGGTGAATTACCCTACGACCCGAGCGGCGCAACGAATTTAGTTTCCAAGTACCAGCTTCCATCAGGCGGGTTTGTCGATGTGTCCTATCGCTCTTAAACCACATATGCACAAATCGCATGCTCTGCAACCTACATTAGCGAAAAAACCAAGAAATGACAGAACCCTGAGGCAATGTAGACATCTAGGGTATCTACTTCACCGAGGGGTGCTCGAGCATGCTCTCTTATGTGCCACTACGAGCCGCTGCGGTGCCTTCTATTGACATGGTATGACATGGACAGAGGTTATTTTGTTCCATAAGGTTTTGAACAAAGGAGGAGGATCGCGACTTTGGTGCGAGTGGCGGCATCACAAGGTCGTATCGTTTTGTTGCCCGGAGAAAATCGTGGAGACGCAAATAGCACGGACTAGCCTGGATGTGGATACGACCTGCAGGGTGGGACTAGTGCGGCTCGGGAAGTGTCAACAGTGCGCATTCACTCCTGACAACCGCCCCCATAGTATCCCTGACCCTCGTCGCACCCCACCGCGCCTTCTCTCGTTTCTGTTTACCTTGCGGACATTCACTCGCTAATCGTCCGCACCTTCCTCCGCTATCACACTTCACTCACTTACCGTCATCGACACCCAGCTACCGCCGTACACCGCGCCAGACCCGCCGCAACCCGAGCGACACCACACCTTTCATATTCGCGAACATGGGCTTCGGCGACTTCCAGACGATATGCGAAAAGGCACCGATACCACTATGCGCGCTTGTGGGCCACCAGGAGATCAACGATGGCGTGGGCATCCAGACAGAGTGCTATGCGCGCACGATTGAGATTGCTAATACCCTCATTTTCGAGGCGGCGAACGACTTTATGCACATCTTGGCCATGATCATGACCGTCGTCATGATTATCCACGTGCGCTCCAAGTTCACAGCTGTCGGTACGTTTGCGCATTGCCATGCCTACCCGGGGCAGTTCACTAATGCATAGCAGGTCGCAAGGAAATCACATCCTTCTTCTACATCTACCTCCTTTTGACCATCATATCCCTCGTCCTCGATGCCGGTGTCGCTGCTCCTGGCTCTGCCGCCTACCCATACTTCGCTGCCGCCCAGAACGGCCTCGTCTCCGCGCTATGCACCTGTCTGCTTATCAACGGCTTCGTCGGTTTCCAGCTCTACGAAGATGGCACTACACTCTCCGTCTGGCTCCTACGTCTCTCTTCGCTCGCCATGTTCATAATCGGCGGTGCTGTGAACCTCTTGACGTTCAAGGGCTGGGCTGGACTGGAACCTGGAAACCCCGTTGGCATCTTTGTCGTTACCTACATCGTCAACGCCATCTGCCTTTTCGTATACACCGTCAGCCAGATCATCCTGGTCGTTGGAACACTAGAAGACCGCTGGCCGCTTGGTGATATCTCATTCGGCATCTTCTTCTTCGTCATTGGCCAGGTCATTCTATACGTCTTCAGCGACACTATCTGCGACCAGGTTCAACACTACATTGATGGCCTCTTCTTCGCAACTATTTGCAACTTGCTTGCTGTCATGATGGTCTACAAGGTACGCTTGTCACAACCAACATCTAATCGAACAACACTAACTTTTCGTAGTACTGGGACTCCATCACTCGCGAAGATCTCGAATTCTCCGTCGGCGTCAAGCAGCACAACTGGGAGGTCAAGGAGCCTTTCCTCGAGGAGGACCAGAAGCGTGGCACCATGTACCAGGACTCCGACTACGCTCCATCGCTATACCAGCAACCGTACACGCGCAACTCGCACTACTCAGCCGTCGGCCACTAAGCTCACGACAACCCCTCGCTCTTGTTTTTACCTTCGACGATACATGTTTTGCGCATACCATTTTACGGCATTGGGTGGAGTTTATGGCGCATATCAGTTTCGGCAATCAGCTTCAGCACTGTACTACTGCTTGTGAACGGTGGCTTTTCGGATTTGGAGGAACTAGGACCTGCAAAAGCACTTGGTAATGTGCTCTTTTGCCGCCTTTTGCAGACGAGATCATGACATATTTAGCGCTTATATAGTAATATCAACTCTCTAAACTTGACCGAAGTGCCTCCCCGTCGACGCGTCTTATCCGAGCCGAGGCTTCCTGGGGTTGCGTGGAATGCGCCGCAGCAGCACAACCCATCCCATCTCCATCTGGCAAGCAATGCGAATACCATTGCGGCAGACAACCTTGGAATACTGTCTTCACATGATTGTCGTACATTCACCGCTCGAAGTTTGGGAGAACCTTATCCCGGCCCCTTCCCCGGATTCGCTGCACTGATGATACGCTAGTGCGCGGGTCGATGTTCATCCCCGCAGCATGTCCGATGCACCCTCGGGGCTTCATTCGGCAAGTATAAACTTCGCAATGCTGTCATTTCGCGATGTCGTCTCTCACTGTTACTGCATCGTTGAGCGTCGCTGTAGGGAGTAGCATCGACGCATTCATCGCATACAATCGCCTTTCATCTCATCTTTACCGTCCACGGGTTCACCCATTAGTGCGCCAAACTCCAGCAATTCGATAACGAATCGATATACTACGTTAACGCGATGCCAAAAACGGATGTTCTCATATCCGGTTCCGGTTCAGCTGGTGTCTTCGCAGCAACTTGGCTGGCAATCTACAATATCCCATTTACGATTCTGGAGCGACGTCCTGGTCCACTAAAGATCGGTCAAGCAGATGGCGTTCAGGTGCGCACAGTAGAGATTTACGAGTCATTTGGTCTATCGGAGGATTTGTTGCGTGAGGCATACCATATCCTGGAAGTGTGCTTCTGGGGTGTCGATGAAGATGGCAATGGCAATGAGCAGGGCGGCATCAAGAGGAAGAGTAGATCAATCGATACGGAGAAGGGCCTGAGTCATTTACCGCATGTGATCTTGAACCAAGCGCGCATGAACGGACTCATGCTGGGAAAGATGGAGACCATCTTGAAAGAGCAGGGAAGATGGAGAGAAGGTACGAGCAACGGGATCGAATACGGCTGGGCCGTCAAGAGCGTGGAAATAGACGAGAAGAGAAAGCATGATCCGAACGCGCATTGCGTCAAAGTGACCGCTGAGAAAGATGGCAAGGAGGAAGTCTGGGAAGCGAAATACGTCTTAGGCTGCGATGGCGCGCATTCCACCATTCGCAAAGCCCTCGACATCCGCATGCTCGGCGACTCTTCCGATACCGTTTGGGGCGTCATGGACATCTACCCACTTACAACCTTCCCCGACATCCGCCGCAAATGCACGATACACAGCACCGCCGGGAACCTCATCATCATTCCCCGCGAGGGTGGTCAATTAGTCCGGTTCTACATCCAGCTTCCCGCCGGCACGCAGCCCAAGACAGTGAAATTGACCGACTTGCAAAACCAGACTCGTAGAATTTTTGCACCGTATACCATGGACTTTGTTGATGTCTTCTGGTGGAGTGCATACAGTATTGGTCAGCGCCTTGCTGAAGTGTTTCATGCGCATAACCGCGTCTTTTTGACGGGCGATGCGTGTCATACGCATTCGCCGAAGGCAGGTCAGGGGATGAATGTGTCCCTCCAAGATGGATACAATATTGGCTGGAAGCTTGGCTCCGTTCTTTCTGGTCTTTCACCTCCTTCCCTACTGTCGACATACATCACCGAGCGCAGCAAGACGGCAGCTGACCTCATTGCTTTTGACAAAGAGCTAGCAAAGATGATCAGCAGGAAAGACCGGTATGAAGGCGAGTTTGCGGACTACTTTAGGAAGAGTGGAAGGTATATGGCGGGGTTCACGGCGAGGTACGAAGACACCGCTATTACGAAGGGGATGGACAGAGAGAAGAGTGCGGCTACGGCGGTCACGGTGGGGACGCGTTTTCCAAGTGCGCAGGTTATACGTTTTTGCGACTGTAAGGCTGTGCAGTTGATGAGTGTGCTGAGGAGTGATGGGAGGTGGCGCGTCGTGGTGTTTGGAGGGGATGTCAACCAAGCGCAGCATCGCGAGCGACTGGCCAAGGTATGCGCGCCCAGCCCCCATAGTCTTCGTATCCTAACATCATGCAGTTGGCGAAAGCACTCGAAGCAATCGCATGCAGATATACACCTGCTGGAAAACACATCGACGGTGTCATCGAGACAATCCTCATATTGAGCAGCAAATTTGCGGGAACTGAACAAGAAAGCATACCGGACTACTTCTGGCCAAAGAGCGGAAAGTGGAATATACGCGGTATGTTGCCCTCTCAGATCTTTTCTATCATCGCGCTGACAATGCGACAGATCTTCACAAGACGTTCGTTGATGATGATCATTACAACTCCGGTCACGGACATGCCTACGAGAAGTACGGTGTGAGCCCCGATGTGGGCGCAGTCATCATTGTGAGACCTGATCAATGTACGTAGTCGTGACGTGACTGTGGACCTGCGAGACACCACTGACAACATGTAGATGTATCCAAAGTCACGACCTTGACCGACTTCGACGGCATCGCTGGCTTCTTTGCAGACTGCTTGGTCGAACAGGCGTCCACACTGGTTGCGGGCGCATCCGCGAAGTTATGATCTACCTGATGGCCATTAGCTTCGCCGGCGCCGGTCGCGGAGCTAGAATGCGTGGAAGTCGCCGGGACTGGCGAGTACAAATACTACTCCAAGTTTTCTCCAAGTTATCCTCCATCACTTTACCTTGCATTTATCAAAAACATAGTCATCACAAACGTATGGAGCTGCTGGTCTTTTCTAAAATTCATTCCCTCGAGAGTTATGGAGCAGTCTCGATCTTCCAAAACTTCGTGAACGTCTAAACATGTCTCTCGGCAGCTCGCCTTTCTTCCATTACTTCAAAATCATCGCCACCGCTTTTATGACTTCTGCTTTCTGAGAACGTCCAAAACTCCGCATTCATCGAACACATGTTGCTCTTGCAAAAAGATAAATTCACACAGTGCATGTGGGAAAGGAACAAGATAGTCGCTCACATATGGTCTTTTTCGGAGTATGTTTTACCACTCTTGGAGAAATTGCGTGGTCTTGAGATGTTCGCATGAAGACCAAAATCATCCTTTCATGATTGCATGTGATTCTGCCCTTCTTTGGCCATCTCGAAAAGGTTTCCTCTGCTTTCGATGAGTTGTGTGGGCGGAGTACCGCTGCAATATTTATCAAAATCTCGCAAAACTAGGTTATGTGTTCTCTCGGTCCTCTGCCTTGTCCATGAGCTGTACTCGTCGCTTCACTCTAACGCTAGTGGCATTCTGAAAATATAAATATCTCGCAAATGGAAAGCAGAACTTCCACAACTTCACTCTTCACGTTACCTTACCAAAAGCCTACGATGGGGTAGTCATGTTCTCTTCTGCTGCCCGAACTTTATATTCTTCTACATATCAGCCTGATGACTTCCAGAATGACAGCTTCGCCCTTCATTTCATTGTTTCCAAAGAATCGCCAGTGGCGGTTAATGGAGCTGGTGCTCAAAAGTCGGTACTCGAAAGATACATGAGATTTTGAGCGAATTTACATCACTACAATCGCATGAGTGCAGAAGTCAAAGAGCCCATGGTATTCCAAAGTCTTCGATACAAATGTCATGAGCTGTTGGCCTCCGTCATGATCGCGACTTTGGATATGCGGTATCATCTTGTATACGCCTGAGGGCCTTCAAAATCTACGAATATTACATGAAAGTTCCATGTATGCTTTTTCCCGAAGACATTCTAACAAATATGGCATGCGCAAACTCATGTGCAAGGCTTGCTTGCATGTTATGTAAATGCTTCGAGGATGTCTCTTGTGCTATATTCTTGAGCGTTGCCTTATTCACGAAAAAGCACATCCTTCGATTTATGGGAGCGCTGCGTCCTTTTTCCAAAATCGTCCTGCAACGTGGTGATGATATTGACAGCACACAAGGCCTTCAAAACAGCATTGTGCCAAGATACATGATCAAGTCCATCGCTTAGAGCGTTGAACCGACCATGACATGAACCGCATCGCTCATTGACGGTCTCCAAACCCATTGGATGGAGCAAAACACCGCGATTTCACTACATTCAACACCTCTCCTCTTCCTACCACAACCAGAAACCCAAAAGCGGCCTCAACCTCCGCGGGCCCCTCCTAATTTCCACACCCTCTCTCTTCCTACCCAAAGCAGCAAATCCATCCTCGGTCTTTCTCTCCGCTGCAATCCTCCTACTTTCCACACCTACCACAAACAGCACATTTCGAAACCCGCTAGGCGTCCCGTCGACCACGACTATCTTTCTCAGCAAAAGATACATTGGCTGGCGTTGAGTACCGCTGCCGTAGGTGCTTGGTACAAAGAAGGCTCCGAAAGCGGTAGTCGGATATAAGGATGCTCGGTGTTGTGGAGTGGGTGCTGCGGCGAAGTAAGCCGCGTGCGAATCGAGTGCCGATCTCGAGTCAACGGGACAGGGGTTCTGGGTATCGTTGCCGAGAGAAGTGGGTAGGCGGCATCGGATTTGTGCGTGCAAATGGGAATTCCAAAGCCGATGTTGGTGGGTACAGTAATGTGTGGGTGGGGACAACCGTGCCGGTGACATGGGCTCCATTCTCACGGGTTGCCGTGGCTCACCAGCCTCTTTGGAGGGTGCTTGGTGGCTTGAGCTCGGAACGAACCTCGGTTGACTTTTCGTTACCATCAATAAAAGGCGAGGGCCCAGGAACGATGGTGTAGATGGTGCAGGTCGGTGCGCTTTCCTCGCTTGCATCATGTGCGCGTCATATTGTCGTCACGACTTACTTTGTACCTCTCGCGACTTTGACGAGCATTGGTATCTTTTCGCTGCGCTTGGGCATTCGCTACACATCTGTGACCACGAAAAACATTTGCGACTATTCCATGGCTTTACCAAAAGCTCTTTTGTACGAGCCCTGGCGCCAGTGACCCCATGGAACGATCGCCATGCCTGAAAGCAACCATGAGCAAAATTGCAAAATTAACCCCTCAATTCACAAAATAAGATCTTTCGGGAGTCATGTCCTCTTGACAGCATCACGGGTGATGGTGGGCGGCAGCTTCAGACCGTAGATGTGCTTTCTGGCCAGGACTACTTGCGCCTCACCACGAACACTCATATAAAGTCAGATCTTTCGCATATTTCCTTCCAGTCTCCTCATCACCACTTTTTCTCTCCTCAAAACCAAAAATGAAACAAGCTGGAATGATATCTGCTGCGGTCGGCTTCTTTCTTCCCAAACCGCCAAACACCATACGCATGAGATTCCCTCGCGTTGCCGAAAACACTGCTATCGCTACCCACGATCGTCCAAAGACACTATCCATGTAGCCGTTAGAAACAAAAAAGCGATGAGAAAGCGAGATGTGTTCTGCGCTCTGCGCCTTGCCTCCAAAATAAAAGAATAATGACCAGCTTACATGAGACCTCTCGCAATGCCAAAGACATTTCCATCGCTACAAATGGTTCTCTGCAAATACTATACATGTGTTCTTCACGACAGCACATGGAACTCCGAAAAGATATCGCTGAGACGCAGATGTCAATCTAATATCCAAAAGTCGTCACAAACACCTTCCATGCTTTTCCCTCTAGTCGTGGAATCTTTACTACTATCAAAAACCCCAGAGTCCACACGATGTCTCTTCATGTGGCTACAAAACTAAACACAGTCGTAACATGGCGTCTTCTCGGGCTTGCGCCAGCTCAGAAGAGGCTCTCTTTTATTCAAAACGCGTACATCTGTCACCATGACTGCGACACCGGTATTCGGCGATGTGTCCAAAAGCTAGGGCCACTGCAGCAAGTATAAATGCTGTTCTCGCGCGACATACTCTCTCCCTGCATCCACGCTCTCTAGCTTTCCAAATTTCCAGCAAAATGGACTGATGTTTCCGGTGGCCTCCCTTCCCCAAACGAAAAATCCTTGCGCCTACAGGCTATGGCGTTCGTGCTTCCCTTGACGATGAACTCGGGTCAACGTATAGCCCTTTCGAAAAAGATCATACTCAAGATCTAATGAGCAAAGTCTGAGTGACTTCTGCAGTTTTACAATCGCTCCGAATTATGAGATTGCTTTCTCGACTTCACAAAAACGATGGTCAGACTACTTCATGGGGTGAGCGCGTCGGTCACCTATTCAACACATATCAAAAAAGCCAACACGACTGCTGCATGTGATTGGAGAGATTGGGAAGTGACTCTCAAACTTCAAAAGCGCCAGAGTCGAATAGCATGTGTCTGGACCAGACTTAAAATCGATACAAAATACCTAAAATCAAGTGATATGATAGCGATGTACGGGCTTTGTAGTTGACAGTGATGGCGATCTTCTCACGTCTACCATCACTCCCACCATCAAAATTCTTCCATAGCCTTGTTATGTCGACTCTGGATCGAAACCCTGAAAGCAAGATGACATATCAGCACCCCGTGCTACGATCTACCACAATCTACAGCACCCCCCTCTCCACAAACCTAACCGGCAAATCCACGCTCCTCGCCCGGAGATACTCACAAAAATTCTTGCCCAGCGTATCATACGTACTACAAGCATCATACCCACGATCCAAATGATCATGCAACAAAAAGTGCACCGCCTTGACATTCCGCATTTCAAACCTATCGATCGGCTTGCCTTTGTACTCTTCCGGCCCTAGCAACTCCTTCACCTTGTCGATGGTGAGGAAACTGCGCAACCACTCCCATTCATCGGCGTGGCGGACGAAGAAACCGACGTTGGCGTCGGAGCACTTGTCGCCTGAGCGACCGAGGACTATGGAGCCGAGGGGGAGGCGGATTGTAGGTCCGAAGTGGGAGAGTGGGATGGGTGATGTAGTTTCGTAGGAGGGTTGTTGGCGCGGGTACTCGCGGAATTCGGGTGCGAGGGGCATATCGATCACTTTCTTGCCGTCACCAAACCCGTTGGTTGCTTCACCGTCCCAGATACAATGAACGCGTTGTTTGACGGCAGATTGCGGGAGAAGCGAGGGATGGTACTCGTAGTATGGTTTCCCCTCCGCTTGACGCACGTCGTTACCCAGTGACGCACCTGGACACGACATGAGGAAGTTTACCATGGAGATGCGGAAGAAGCCTTTGGGGTTGCGCATGTTGAGAAGTTCTCTGTCGCGGGATTGGGCGAAGACGCGGAAATCGACTGTGGCGACGTCTTGGTTGCGGGCGTCGATGACGGAGGAACCGTTTTGCATGAATCTTAGGACGTCGAACTTCTTGATCAGCTCTGGGCCCAGTTCGTATCGGATTTGTTCTTCGATCCATTGGCACTTTTCTTCCATGTGCAGGCCGACGAGGTAGATGTGGTATTCGGCTTGCCAGCCTGCGAAGCCTGTGATGCCGACTTTGGTCGTTGGGGGTGGTGGCAGGCCTTTGATGCCAGAGACTTTGACTTGGTCCTCGCCGATCTGTTCGATCTTGATGTCGGTTAGGTCTGCGGTGACGTCGCAGTTGTAATACAGCGGGCCCTGGATCTCGTAGAGAAGCTGGGATGTGACTGAGTTGACTGTTATACAGCCGCCAGTATTCTTCTCCTTGTACATCACCCCCTCGCCTCTGTTGTCGATTGCGCAGATCGGAAAGCCCATGTTGATGTGCTTGCCTTGGGCCAGAAGACTGCGAAAGTCAGAGCAGTAACCGCCGGATACGTACGCGGCACACTCCAGGAGATGGCCTGAGAATGTCAGTCCGAGGTATCAACATGATCGCAAACGCCTCACCAATTACTAGAGAGCCAGCCAGCTCGTCAAATTGATCACTCGTCCATTCGTGCCACCATGCAGCGGCACCAATGATGGGCGAAGCATCCGAGACACGACCGGCGATGACGATGTCAGCGCCTTCCGTCAGTGCTCTGGCGATACCCAAACCACCAAGATAGCACTGAGCACAAACAGGCTCCAGCCCCCATTCGGATACCGACTTGTCGTGCATCAAACTCTTGAAGCCCTCGCCTTTATCCAACATACTCTTAACGGTTCCCGTAACATCATCACCCTCAATCCAAGCGACCTTCAGTGGGTACCCAGCTTCCTTGCACGTCTTGTCCACAAGCTGAGCCAGCAGCTCGGTATCAGATGCACCGGCATTAACACAGACTTTGATGCCACGGGTAGCTATGTCTTGTATTGCAGGAGTAAAGCAGTCCATAAAGTTCTCAGCGAACATGGCATAGTTGAGCTTCTCCTCGAACGAACGAGCTTGCAGCATCTGCTCTTTGTTTCTTAGCTTTCCGGTACCGTGCATGGTCATTGTCATTTCGGAGAGCCAGTCCCCTACTATGACATCGACGTCGTCTTTGGCTAGGGATGCAATAGCTCGGACGCGGTCGGAGAAGCCGCCTGAGGCACCGCCCACGCGGACGGGTCGGCGGACTGCGGGAGCCATCTTGAAAAAGTATCAAGGAGTTGGTCGGTATGATAAGGATGGCGGGTAGAAGGCGCTGAGCGAGCCAAATATCGACTTGAAGCCATGATGAGATGTATCGCTGTGCCGTCGGAACAGCTTTCCCTTCATACACTCGAGTTCGTGTAGGAATTCGAACGGCTGTCCATATCCGTAGGAAGCTGCGGACTATGCATTCAGAACTGGGATGGACATGTACCCCACTTGGGGCGAGCCGCTGGAACTAAACCATCAGTAGCTAAGATCTCTGACCCACTCGCTCCGCCCTGGAGTCTAAGGATTGCTCTCTGCTCTCGAGTTGCCGAACATACGCGAGTTCCTTCACTCATGCGGCGCGTTCTTGGGCGGGTCGTGGTTGAGGGGAGCGTCGGGTCGACGAGGAAATTGAACAGGCCTACAGACTACCCCGGAATGAGAGCGCGCAAAGTAGCTGAATCAACGTCGATGTAGCCTCCATGGTGTTTGGCCACTCTCTTGGATGAGGTGAGGGAGTCGCGGTGTACCGAGGCAAGCACGGCCAGCTTGGAAGTAGTAGCAAGGTGCGTCAACGATAGCAAACCTTACACATGTGCATCACCTCACCATTGATAGCAAGTCCTCAGACGCGACGCCATCGTCAATGATATCACAATCATTGTGTCGTCGCACACATCTCGTAATCCCTTGGAACGCAGCTGGCGCTGTGCCACACACGTGCCTTCGGATTCGGACCGACACTAAAACACACACCATCCCCTAACCATCGCGCATCCCCGCATCTCCACACCTGGGATCAACTTTAATGTCGCAGTCACCGGGGCGCGCTAGAGCGCCCGCTGGCCTTCCCATCCACGCCCCCTCCTCCAGCAATGCGCATTCACCCAGCAGCAACAACGATAGCCATGATAACGCACCCCTACCTTCCTACCTCGCCCGGCATATCCAGCTCGGCTTCTCCCCCGACGATGTCGCCGCGCTTATCACCGCCATAGACTCGAGCCAAGACCGATCGACTTCCTCCACGAACAGGACGCTAGCGCACCTTCCCGCAGAACTGCTCCTACAGATTCTCGAACATGTCCCTGTGGACTATATTCTCGACTGGCGGTTAGTCTGCCGTGGCTTTCGCGATGCGATCGACGGGCGGGTTCTATACCGTTGTCTGCAGAGGACGGAGCTGGTGGGGTATATGGGTGCGAGAGATTTTGGACTCATGGTGGACTTGGACGACGAACAATATGAGTCGGTCCATTTACTTGAAGCGGGGTTTTCGCACGTCGAGTGGGACACTGCGTCAGACCCGGAGACAAATCGACCCGCGTGGAGCGCGACGCACGCCGTTTTTGAGATCGCAGAGGAGTGGTATGACGCATTCAGGCAAATAGGCGGTGCGGAAGCGCATGATGGCGATACGATTCTCGACGTGGACTCAGACTGGTATAGTGTCTTGGACCGACTGCAGTTGCGCCGCAGGGAAGAATATTTCGGGACGTTGCGCTGGTGCATCCGGCTCGACCACGCGGTTCTGGATTTGGATCTCCCGTGCGAATGGCCGCGAATGCACTTCGACGTCGATGTCACCCTGCACACGGGATTGATACGGGTTGCGTGGAAAGACATGCTCGTCCGCTTCCTCAAGACAGAACGACAATACCGGTTACTACTAGAACAGGTACGTCTGCCCTCAAAACAGCTCGTATGGCCATACTGACAACCTCCACCCAGAAAACCGACTCCCCCTACACCTTCTCCCACCACGAAGACTGCCTCCGCTCCGTACGCCGCACGCACCTAATGCGCTCCCTCACCGACAGCAAAGACGACCTCCGCATCCTCTGGCACATGCGGCTCCTCCCACCCCTCTGGGCCAGCGCCCCATCCCCCAAACGCACGCCTCTAAGCCTGGACCCCACCGAAAACGACGCCATAACCACACTCCTCCTGCTCCGCCGCGCCGCCTCCCTCACCTCCTCCCAACTCACCTACCTCCACACTCTCCACTCCTCCTACCAAGCCATGGAGTCCGCCCTCCGCGACCTAGACGAAACATACTCTGAATTCAAGTCCTACATGAACATGCCCGGTTTCCAGACGAATATCTTGCTGCCGGCTGTGATACGCAATGCGAAGAATATACCGCGGAATCCTGTGGCGTGGAGTGATGAGCTGAGGGGTAAGATTGAGGGCATGGTGGAGAAGTGGCGGGGGCAGAGGGATGTGGTGGATAAGGTGAGGGGGTTGTTGGAGAGTAGTAATGTTGCCATGGCTGTGCCGGATGATAGCTTTGATGAGCTGGGTAGTGATTTTTGAGGTGGTGGCAGCTAGGATGGGATATAATGGCGGGGAAATGTGGGATGGAATGGGTCTGCGGGCGGGCTGGCGTGGTGGATGATTTATCTTCTTTCGATGTGAGGATGATCTTTGGTGGACTAGATATACTTCTAATATTTTGCCTGTTATTTAGAACAGTATTTCGAGGTTCCCAGCTGGTGGCGATTGCCCATACATCCTTCGTAGAGACAGAATAATGCGATGATACTCGATCGAAGAACAGCGTCTGGGTTGGCTCAGATGCCTACAAGGAGATTAGGTTTTCTGAATTCGTATCCTATACTCTTTATCGAGGCATACGTTGTTACATGTACTATCAAATGCCTAGAATCCCATGCAATGTATACCTTTCGATCATGCTTCAGTACACCCCGTGTATTACCAAAGAGTTATGTATGTGACAACACCTTCGTTACACTACACATCTGTTTAAGGATCCAGCATCACACAACATCACAATCAACCAGCGATCTGAAGACAAAGTGTTCCAAAGTATTATGATTAAAGCCTGGAATCTATCCCAAGCTGGGTATGCCGAATGCGTAATGTGTATATCTCAAAACACCATGCGCTGCATCAAACCATAATGAACAAAAAATACGCCAAAGCTAGCTCATCGAATCATTGCGCTCGAAAGCTATCAACATGAAGAGTAACAACAAGCGCCGGCGACATGCTCGCTAATGCAGGGAAGACATGCGGTGGAAGTAATGCAATGCGAGGCGAGGCGGTGGACATGCAGGGGTAATGTGAAGCCTGACATGCCATGCGCGGGAATAAGAAGAAGTTTCTCAAAAGAACTCGGTGGTGTAGTGCTATGCTCAGAGAATGAGAGCAGCGCCGAGGAAGACCATGGACGCGCCGACCATGGCGAAAGGAGCCATGGAGATGGACGATGCGGCACCGTCGGCAGGGGGAGCGGCGGCGTCACCAGTCTCGCTGGCCTCGGCACCCTCAGAGCCAGTGGCAGTCGCGCTGTTGGAGAAAGGTGTGGCAGAGGAGAAAGCAGAGCCGGTTGACATGGAGTGCATGCTCCTGCTCTCGCTGGTGAGGCCGCTGGTCTCGCTGGCGGAGATGATGCTAGTAGATCCGGACAGGGCACTCGAGGTGGTGCTGCTCATCGACATGCTAATGTCGCTGCTCATGCTCGAGGCAGTCTCGTCGAAGAGAGCCTGGATGCGGATCTCGTGGCACTGGTCGCCAATCCACGAGTCGTACAGGTTGCCGAAAGCACCGCTCATGCAGCGCCACCAGCGGGTGCTGCCTCCTATGGCGAGCGAGTCGTTGCCGCAGACTGAGAAGCCGCCTGTGTAGATTGCGCCTGCCTGAGGAGGGCCATCGAACTGGAACTGTTGGTTGGCGACGATGGAGCCGGTGCGGCCGTATTGGTCGTGGAGGATACCGTCTTCGAGAGTGCAGAGGAGGTCGCCGTCAGATGCCTGGTGATGGTGTTAGTACGATGTTATGAGTAAGAGTCCAGGGGAGCACATACCTCTTGAGCAGTTTCGCGCCTCCTGAGACTGGGGTTCTCGAGTGTGCCAATTCGGAAGGGCGTCTCGACAGTCGTCTTGCAGCCCTCGGGCGCAGAGGCATCGGGAGCAATGCCCTCCTCGACGGCCTGGGCGAGGCCAGTGGCCGCGAGGAAAAGCGGAGCGAAGATGGTGGAAGTGCGCATGGTGACGGTCGAGGATCCCTGACAAGCTAAGACCCACAGTATGGGAGGGTATGTCGTATCGTATTACTCGTGATAGTTATGAAGAGTGCGGGATAGAAGATACTCGTGATATGGGCCTGCAGCGTCAAAGTCGTGAAGAATAGCAGAAAAGCGGCGATGGGAGGGTGCAAGATAAGAGGCTGGACGCGAGGCCGGCCAGAATTATTTGTTGGTGCAACCCTCGCGCGACTTCCACACAAAGCAAGGCCCAAGGCGCAACAAGCAAGGTGTACCTGCAGATCGACGCTCAATCGGGCAAGGCCCAACGCGTGGACGTCAATGCGTAGATTGCATGTTTATCGTTGAGATCATAACCGCTTGCCGAGATGAAACATGGCCGAACATGCACCCTATAGGGATGACGCCCGTAGAACTCCTGGGGAACAATACGAGAGCCACGCCCGTCCACGTAGGGCATGGTGAAGACACAAGAAAGCGCATCGTGTGCGTGCGAAAGCGCCTTCTACACCCACACCGCCACCGGCACCAAGGCAGGTACCCGCGCCGACGTTGGAACTTGCGCCTGTCAACGCCTGCCCACTAATTTGCTAGTCCTCTGGGCACTCGAGGACAAGATCTGGGCAAACACCGCCATCGGCACTCAATTCCGTCGCACCATGGCCAGCGCAGCGTTTACGGTTACACGGCATTGCCGTCATCGCATTGTGTTTGCCCATTCTACACGAAACCGCCTTCCACATAACCTCTCGCCTGCAAACCTACCATTTCCAGGCTGCCATGCCATTCAACTGCCGCTCTGCCTGGATCTTGTTCGTTCTCACCGTCATGTCCTGTGGCGTCATACCTGCCCCAGTCTGCGTGGGTCCCGAGGTAGGTGCGGTAGAGTGCGTGTGCGCCGGAAGAACATCGGGGTCGACCGCCATCGCAGCCTTCGTCTCCTCACACACGCGCCCGATCGCAAATGTCTGAATTGCTGCAGCTCTGGCCTGCAGTGCTG